CTCCCCAGCCCACCCCCCATTCCCACCTCCTCCATTCATTTTTGATCAGACAACAGTGAGGAAGTGTGAGTTACTCATGATGAGTCGACTGGGAGTCTTGAAATGAAACAGTGTGTGCATTTAAATAAAGGAGAATTAGGCGATTAGTTCTGAAATAATGCTAATTACTAGCTGCCTGCTCCTTCCATACCTAGTTCAGAATACTTTCTTTGCTGGCTCTGGCCATTTTTATCATCTTACTGGAAGGAGAAGAGAGGAAGTTTTTGTGTGTCTTTATAGACTCCACTCTCCTTGTATTTGGGCAGTTCACTAAAGAGGATGTATGACATAAAAGAGATCCTAATAAGAGGTACAGCAGGAAGGACACTAGGATGCCCGTGGTTAACTTTAACGGAGAAGAAGCATAGTTATTGCTAAGTTTATGCATTCTTCCAAAGGGTAGAATAACAAATTTTCTTGTTGGTCTCTGTTCCTGTGGAGCTTATGGGCTTTGTTATTGAAGTTAATTGAGTTCCTTTGGTTCATGTAATCACAACATTTTCTCAGGGAATTCAAGAGTGTAGACCGGTCTAACTTGTGTAGGTTGGCATTGGTCAGGTCTTCAAATGCTGTTCTGTATTGATGGTGTGCACAAAGATTACTCTCCAAGGTATCTTTGATATTTAGTTCACATGGGCAGTCAACCTTGTACAAGCCAGTCTTGACATTTGTCTTGTGATCAGTAGATATGATGGATTCATTGTGAGTTTGTGTCAGGACCTGAGGTAGAGACAATTTTTTATAACACAGTTTATAGTAAGAAACATAAGACCTATCTGTTTGTTTTGGTGCAAGATACAGTAAGAGGGAAAAAGGCCATGAGCTCATAACTCATCATAGAACACAAAGGAAACACTGTCTCCTTGTCATCTGCAGTTAGAGAGGATTTGGCTTAGTGTAAGAGCAGGCATCCCACTCAATAGTCTACTATGACTGTTTCACAGATTTGGAGCACATTCTCCATGGCTGCTCAACACCCAGCTTTCAGATATGAACACACACATGCACGCGTACACGTACACATACACACACACACACACACACACACACACACACACACACACACACACCAAAAAAACCCCTCCTCTATTTGGGGAGAGTAATTAATTTAGTGAAGCGACTGTTTCCCCATTTGTTCAGGTTAGTGGTAGAAATGCAACTGATGAGCTATTAGCACTGGTTCAAATTCACACATTATCTTGGAGATGTGTCTATGTGGGGATCAAATGCTATGGTAGTACAATGCTTGTGAATTGTCTAAACAAGGTCTAAAATTGTTTCTCCACAAAAATTGGTGGCCTATGGGTAAAAGCAATGCTTTAAGCACATGTAAACAGACAGTGTCGTTATGTATTTTGTGTTATTTCAAGGTGAAGGAATTGCAGAAAAAACAGATCCAGTTCAATTTTTCTTTCTTATTTTGCTATTCCATGTTTATAGCTTTTGTCTATACTGGGTATAATTCAGGGCATCAGCATTGTTATTTTGCAGACATAAATACACAGACACCTTAGAAGTGGCATTTTGTGAATGGGGATTGCATGTTATTCTATTGTTTCTTATACTTAAATCAATTTTTATTTTTTCTTCAATAAGAAAAATATAGGAATAATTAATGAATTGTATATTTAGTATATTTAAGTTTAATCAGTTCATCATTTGTTAGATGGATTGTTTCATATTTTCATTAAGTTTTTAAGCCACTCCACTAATTGCACAGAATGTCCCTTCTGTATGTGTCACCAAGTCCTAAATCCTTTAGATGATTCTAAAGACCACTTGGTGTAGGATGAACTCGCCTTCCTCTAAATTAAAGTGTGATGTCTCATTTTATATACTGTGCATACGTTTTAAATCTTCAAAATCTTACTTTTTAAGTATATACTTGGCTTCAAATTGTTATTTGGCTGAATGACAATGGAGAGCCATTATCAGCAAAGATGTAGTTTATTTTTTCTTTTTTTCGATTCATCTATTTCTCATGTATACAGTGTTCTGCCTGCATGTCAGAAGAAGGCAACATTTCTCATTATCACCGGCTGTGAGCTACCATGTGGTTGCTGGGAATTGAACTCAGGACCTCTGGAAGAGCAGAGCCTTTGCTCTTAATTTCTGAGCCATCTCTTCAGCCCCAATTATATATATTTTAAATACCATTTACCCTTCCCCTTCGATTCCTCAATCCCTCCCATGCACTCCATAGTGTTCTGTTTGAAATTCACTCCCTGTTTTTTCATTCTGATTCATGACTAAAATTTGACTCAAATGTCACTACAGAGATCTGTAATGTCTTTTTTGTTGGTCTTCCCTCATAGACACCAATAACTCCTCAGGACCTAGAAAACATTCCAGTTCACTCTGGGTCTTCTTACACTCAGTGCCCATACCTTCCAAATGACAGCCTTATTCTTGTTCTTGGTGGATCAGCAAAGAATGAATTATAAGTAATGCTCCTGTTCCCTATGAAATTGCTTTAGGGTCTAAATGTTAGGCAAAATATGGCCCCACTCTTCTCAATCAGGAGTACATAAGGAAATTCATTTGAATTGAGTTTTATTGTCATCTGCTTGGTATGTTGCTCTATATTACTTCTCATTAGACCAGTTTCATTTTTCAAGATTGCTGGACAGTCCCTCAATTCTCCTGTATATTTCACAGACTGAGGCTCTAATGTGTCACTGGCCACTGTAATCCTAACATTGTAAATACGTTACTTTTACCATGGAGCTTGCTTTCATCCTCCACAGTCTTAGCTTGAATTACTTGTTCCATAGACCTTCAGTTCAGGTCAGCTTCTGTTGCAGGCTCTTGTGCTGCTGTGGGTCTCTGGGTCTCTCTTTCACTGGGCAGAGGGAGGGTCTTTAGAGTTTGAGGCCACACATGGTTGTGCTTCACTGGCTGTTACCCATGATGATTTGACTAGGAATCTTGCAATGAAACAATGTGTGCATTTAAATAAAGGAAGGTTAGACCATTTGTTCTGTAGTGACTAATTACTAGCTGCCTGCTCCTTCCATTCCTGGTCCAGAACACTCTTTCCTGCTTCTGGCCCTTTTAAGAGGAGAGGAGTTTATTGTGTTTAATACGGTTTTCACTCTCTTTGTATTTGGGTGGCTAACTAAAGAGGACATATGACTTGAAAGAGAGCCCACTAAAAGGCACAGCAGGAAGGACACCAGGAGGCTCCAGGTTAACATTATTGGGAAATAAACACACCTTTCAGTAAGTCCAATATAGTTTCTAAAATATAGAGATTTTTGCATGTGAAATTTTCTTGTTGGTGCCTAACTGTATTCTCTAGAGCCCTATGGACCATGCTCGTGAAGTTTACTGGGTCCACTTATTGCTTCTGTTCACAGGATTTTCTCAGGACTATCAAACCAGTACACAGGTCTAATGTGCGCTTATTTTCATTGGCTAGGTCTTCAGCCTATGTTTGATTTTGAATGGAGTCACACAGCATCCTCTCCAAGGCCTCTATGATATTTCCTTCACTTTGACAGTCACTCTTTTCCAAGACAGCTTTGACATTTGTCTTGTGATCAGCTGATATAATGGGCTCTTTCTGAGTCTGAGTCAGAACCTTTGGTAGAAGTAAATTTTTATATCAAGATTTTTATAGTAAGAAACATGAGACCTATCCATGTGTATTTGTTCAAGATACAGTAAGATGGGAAGAGGCTGTGATGACTCACCCTAGAGCACAAAGGAAAGAAACACTGGCTCCTTGTCACCTGCCCTTGGAGAGGATGTGGCTCAGTGAAAGAGCAGGGGCCCCACTAAGTACTCTACCAGGACTGTTTCTCAGATTTGGAGCATATTTTCCCGGCTTGGTTAACTCCCAGCTTTCACATCTTAACACAAATTTTTACAGGCTACTTAGGGATAGTAAATTGATCTAGCGAAATGACTATTTCTTGGGTTGTTCAGGTGAATGACAGAATTGCAGCTGATGAGCTACTAGCCCTGGTTCAAATTGACACAAATTATCTTGTAGATGTATGTATGTGAGGATCAGGTGTAGGTGTAGAAAAATGTGAATTGTTGGAACAAGATCTAAGGTTGATTTTCAGCAAGGATGTAGTGAGCTATGGGCAAGAGCAAAACTTTAAACATACGTAAACAATCAGAGTGCACAGTGTCACTATATAATTTCTGATATTTTGAGTTGAGTTAGTCATTACAACATGACTTAAGATTGATTTTTTTAGAGTCTCAGAGTTCTGTCCTCACAGACCTCACCATACAGTATGGCAATTATCTACTCTGTGTCTATGTCTATATCCTGTTTTATGTTCCCATGAACAAGGACCATTAGTGAGTGCTCGAACAAACACAGTTACCAATTCCTGGTAGAAAGCATGCGCTTGCCAGACATCTGTAACAGTGATTCACTGCATTTTATTTAAGCCAAAGTTCTCATCCCCATACAATTCCTACTAAACTTGAAATCAAGTATAAAGCAAATTCACTTCAAAAGTCAAAATGAGTTTACCTAGGAGAAAAGATAATAGTAATTTTCTACTTCATATGCTATCTTGTTTTATATATGAAAAATTCTTCTGAAGAGATGTGTTTTTAGGAGGTCCAAAAATTTAAAAATTATTGAGAATAATATACAAAATATATATCTTAAGAGTTTGTTTTGGGGCCAGGCGGTGGTGGCACATGCCTTTAATCCCAGCACTTGGGAGTCAGAGCCAGGCAGATCTCTGTGAGTTCGAGGCCAGCCTGGTCTACAGAGTGAGATCCAGGACAGGCACCAAAACTACATGGAGAAATTCTGTCTTGAAAAAAACAAAAACAAAAAAAAGTTTGTTTTGAATGAACAGTATATCCTCAAACTCAATTAGGAACCAAGTGTATGATGCAGGGGAAGGAGGGATTATTTATCTCTTGTGATTGAGGCAGATTTCACATCGTATAGAAGTTAATAGATAATTTTTGTTGTTTGTCCTCAGATACATCTATATTTGGGACAAAGTCCTTTGCTGGCTTTTGGATTCTTCTGTCCATTTCACAGTGGTAGCACTGCAGTTGATGACAAGCTGTTAATGCTCTACTGACTGACCTGTATCTTAAACACTTTAATGTGCATCTTTGATGTCTGGTAAGTACCCTACATTTGTTGTGCATTTCCTTTTTAAGTGTCCTGTTCCCATATGTCACTGGTGGGTACTATAGTTGCCAGTGTCGGAGTCTGCAATCTTATTCTCTCATCTCCATAGCCCTGTTAACTGCTCCTAGACCCTATGACAATGCTGTCACCTATCAGGCCCTCTGGATTTCTGAACTACCAAGTAGTGTACCATCTCACATAGTTGCCAGATAGATCAGAAATGATTATCATTTTAAACTTACCCTTCCTTCAGTGAGCATTGATGACATCAGCAGAGTAATGAGAAACAACATCATTGGGGAAGAGGCCATGGCTGAAACTAATCAAAGAAAAATTCCTGGTTGAATTAAGCAGTTTGGGGGATATAGAACTAGACAAGACATTGATAGGAGGTATGGCAAAGCAACTGTACCTGACAAATTCATTAAGGATATAACAAGGGAAGAGTTACTATGTGTGGCTGCTGTTGTTTTATTGTGCCTACCTTGCCTTTCATAGATCTAACACATAACCTAAAGAAGTTTACGGGTATCTGGGATGTGTACTTGCAAAGGCTGGGCATTCTTAGTTTCTTTCTGTGTGTGTGTGTTCCTCTGTCCTCAAAAGGGAAATGTGGAAAAAAAAACCAGATCCAGTTTTTTTTTTATTTCTGTGTACCATCTCTTCTTTTGCTACATCCTGTTTATAGGTGTCATCTGCACTGGATATGAATCAGGGTGACAGGGTGCAGACATAAATGTACAAACACCTTAGAAGTTACAAAATGTGAAGAGCAATTTCAATCATGCCATTTTTCTTCAACTTGAATTAATTTTCATTTTTTTCACTAAAAACATACAAACACAATTAATGAATTGCCTATCGAGTCTATTAAAGCTCACTCAATCCATAATTTGTTAGATGGGTTGTTTCATATTTTCATTAAGTTTTAAATACATTGTTCATTGCACAAAATATCTCCTTTCAATGAATCCTCATGTCCTACATTCTTTGAATACTGCTAAAAACTTTTAGTGTGGGATGCATTCATTCACCATCCCTTTGGAGCACATAAAATTGGCTTACATTATAAATTAAAGGTATGGTGTCCCATTTTATATACTGTATGTACATTGAAAATTTTCAAAATACTTTTTAAATATATATTTTGCTTCAATTTTTCCTGCTTAATGGTACTGGGGAGATATTATCAGCAAATATCTAATACAATTTACATTTTTGTATGAATTCCCTTCACTTTCCTCCCTTCAACCCTCCCATGTAATCTGTAACTTAAATGTGTGACAGAATGTAGCCTCACTCTTCATTATGGGATGATGAGAAAACTCATTTCATTTGAGTTTTCTTATCATCAGTGTAATGTGCTGCTGTATATGACTTCTCACCTGACCAGATTCATATTTCAAGATTGCTGGACAGTCTCTCAGTGTTCTCATATATTTCACAGACTGAGGCTCTGATGTGTCACTGGCCACTGTAATCTTAACATTGTAAATACTGTCATCTTACCTTGGAACTTGCATTCACCCTCTGCAGTCTTAGCTTGAATGGCTTGTTCCAGAGACCTTCAGTTCAGATCAGCTCCTGGTTCAGGCTCCTGTGCTGCTGTGGGTCTCTGGGTCTCTCTTTCACTGGGTAGAGGGAGAGTCTTTAGAGTTTGAGGCCACACGTGGTGCTGCTGCACTGGCTGCTTTTCCCAATAGACTGGTTTGATTGCAAAGTTGGTCTTGGGTTCTATGTCTTCCTCATCAGAATATTTAAGACAGTGACATTGGACAGCAGCCCTGAGTAATTTCCCAGTATCTTCTTGGTGTGTCAGTTGTCCACTATTTTACTTTAGCTATCTGTGTTCCAGCAGATTTTTCTTTTTTCCTTTTTGAAGCAAGATATAAGGAGAGGAGAGTCTCCCTCATCTCCAGGCCTTTTATCTGGCACTTTTTGTCACAGTGTGCTTTTCTCATTTTAACTGTACTACCCAATGTTTGTGTTTTATCTAGTCTTGATTATTCTGCTATTTACTCAATGCTCTCTTGCCTTTCAGTGATTCTCACATTTTGTTACTACATGTTTAATGTTTTCTTTTTTTTTTTTAGATTTGTGAGGATTTAGTAGAATATTGCTTACATCTATTCTATTACCATTATCAACAAATATTTGTTGAAAGAAAGAATTATTGATCCATCAGATAGGCTTACTCCAGTAGAAGATGGAATAAAATACAAAGACCCATAGCCAGATATTATGCAGAAAGTGAGACCTTGCAACAAACCACTTAAAATGAGATATCTCCGTCAACTCTCTCCCCTCAGAGCTCAGGAAAATGCATGGAAGAGGAGGGAGAATGAGCTCTGGGGACAGAGAACATGGAGGACACAAGGCCTTTTAAAATACCTCAACAAAGCTCATATGAACTCAGAGATGGATACAGTAATCACAGTGCCTACACTTGTCTCTTTCTCCGCATACATACCATAGCTTTCAGTTGAGTGCTTTTTTGAGACTCCTGAATATGTAGATGAGTAAGTTTCTGATTCTTGTGCCTTCACTTTGGGCTCTTTTATTTTTCTGTTGTCTTGTCTTGTCTAATTTTAATATGTGGGTTTTCATTTTATCTTATTATATTTTATGTTGTTAAAACTACAACATTCAGAAATATGATCTAATATGTTTTTTTAAAAAAAATTTATTTTATAGTCATTTAGAATCTGTTTCCAATTTACATTGTGCACTAATAAGAACACGAATCACCCTCTAACCTAATATCTGTAAAACCACCTTTCACAAAGAGCTGGAACTGAAGGAAGTAATCTGATGTCTCAAGGTAGACTCTTTTTTTAAAAAAAAAATTTATTTTATAATTAATTTAATTTTACATATTAGCCACGGATTTCCCTATCCTCCCTCCTCCCACCCCCAGCCTCCCTCCTCAATCCACCCTCCATTCCTATCTCTTCCAAGGCAAGGTCTCCCATGTGGAGTCAGCCCAGCCTGGTAGATTCAGTTGAGGCAGGTCCAGTTCCCTCCTCCCTACACCAAGTCTGAGCAAAGTGTCTAACCATAGGCCCTTGGTTCCAAAAAGCCAGCTCATGCACTAAGGACAGGTCCCAGTCCCACTGCCTGGGGGCCTCCTAAATAATTCAAGCTAATCAACTGTCTCACTTATCCAGAGGGCCCGGTCCAGTTCCATCGGGGCTCCTCAGTATTGTTTCATAGTTCATGTGTTTCCACTAGTTTGGCTACTTGTCCCTGTGCTTTTTCCAATCATGGTCTCCACGTCTCTTGCTCATGTAATCCCTCTCCTCTCTCGCTTATTAAACTCCTGGAGTTCCATCTGGGGCCTGGCTGTGGATCTCTGCATCTGCTTTCATCAGTCACTGGAAAAGAGTTCTATCATGACAGTTAGGGTGTTCAGCCATCCGGTCACCAGAGTAGGTCAGCTCAGGCATTCTCTCGACCATTGCCAGTAGTCTATAGTGGAGATATCTTTTTGGATTTCTGGGGACCTCTCTAGCACTCTGCTTCTTCTAATTCCCATGGGGTCTTCATTTATCATGGTATCTCCTTTCTTGTTCTCCCACTCTGTTCCTGATCCAGGTGGGACCTCCTGCTCCCCTAAGCTGTCTTTCCCCAGACCCTTGCCCTCCATTACCCCCCTCACTCCCAGTTTGCGCATGTAGATCTGATCCATTTCTCTGTCGTTGGGTGATCCCTGTGTCTTTCTTAGGGCCATCTTAACTAGGTAGCCCCCCTGAAGTTATGAGTTGCAGTCTGGTTATCCTTTGCTTTACATGTATCCATGCTATGTTTGTCTTTCTGAGTCTGGGTTACCTCATTCAGGATGATATTTTCCAGTTTCATCCATTTGCCTGCAAACTTTATGATGTCATTGTTTTTCTCTGCTGAGTAGTACTCCATTGTGTATATGTACCACATTTTTATTTATATATTCTTCAGTTGAAGGGCAACTAGGTTGTTTTCAGTTTCTGGCTATTACAAATAATGCTGCATTGTTGAGCATGTGTCCTTGTGGTATGATTGAGCATTCCTTAGGTATATGCCCAAGAGTGGTATAGCTGGGTCTTGAGGGAGGTTGATTCCCAACTTTCTAAGACTGCACCATATCGATTTCCAAAGTGGCTTTACAAGTTTGCATTTCCACCAACAGTGGAAGAGTGTTCCCCTTGCTCCACATCCTATCCAACATAGGCTGTCTTCAGTGTTTTTGATCTTAGCCATTCTGACAGGTGTAAGATGGTATCTCAATTATTTTGATTTGCATTTCCCTGATGATTAAGGATGTTGAGCAATTCCTTAAATGTCTTTCAGCCATTTGAGCTTCTTCTGTTGAGAGTTCTCTGTTTAGCTCTATAGCCCATTTTTTAATTGGACTGTTGGGTATTTTGATGTCTAATTTCTTGATTTCTTTATATGTTCTGGATATCAGCCCTCTGTCAGATGTGGGGTTGGTGAAGATCTTTTCCTATTCTGTAGGTTGTCATTTTGTATTGTTGACTGTGCCCTTTGCCCTACAAAAGCTTCTCAGTTTCAAGAGGTCCCATTTATTAATTGTTTCTCTCAGTGTCTGTGCTACTGGTGTTATATTTAGGAAGTGATCTCCAGTGCCAATGCGTTCAAGACTACTTCCTACTTTCTCTTCTATCAGGTTCAGAATAACTGGACTTATGTTGAAGTCTTTGATCCACTTGGACTTAAGTTTTGTGCACAGTGACAGATAAAGATCTATTCACAGCCTTCTACATGACATCCAGTTATGCCAGCACCATTTGTTGAAGATGCTTTCTTTTTTCCATTGTACACTTTTGGCTTCTTTGTCAAAAATCATACATTCATAGGTGTGCAGATTAATGTCAGGGTCTTCAGTTCAGTTGCATTGGTCCACACTTCAGGTTTTATACCAGTACCAAGCTGTTTTTATTACTGTAGCTCTATAGTAGAGCTTGAAGTCAGGGATTGTGATGCCTCCAGAGGTTGTTTTATTGCACAGGATTCTTTTGGCTATCCTGGGTTTTTTGTTTTTCCATATGAAGTTGAATATTGTTCTTTCCAGGTCTGTGAAGAATTGTGTTGGGATTGCATTGAATTTGTAGATCACTTTTGGTAAGACTGCCATTTTTACTGTGTTAATCTTACCTATCCATGAGCATAGGAGATCTTTCTATTTTCTGACATCTTCAATTTCTTTCTTCAGGGACTTAAAGTTCACGTCATACAGGTCCTTTGTTTGTTTAGTTAGAGTTACCCCAAGGTATTTTATATCATTTTGTGGCTATTGTAAAGGGTGATGCATCTCTGATTTCTTTCTCAGCCTATTTGTCATTTGTATATAGGAGGGCTACTGATTTTTTTGAGTTAATCTTGTATCTTGCTACAT